TGCTCTTAACCTCTGAGCCATGTCTCCAGCCCCAAGAAAAATGATTAAAATAGAGCGTGCATGGCATAGACCGTAAGCACTTTAAATTATTTTCAAGTCATTAGAAGGTTGCAGGTTTTACAAATAATGAAAATGGATTCTCTCCAGGTTTTATATTAAATACAAAAACGAACCATTTTGACAAATCACAGTTTTACCTATAATGTTGATATCAGTATATCAATTCTGAGTTCTTATGATGTAATTTATATTTGGGGCTCAAGTTAAAAGAAATTGATAAGCACTGAGGGATGGCTGTGCCTCAGTGGCTGGCAGGTTAAGGAATACATTTCCACTGGAAACCCTTGAGCAGGGGCTGTGGAACCTGGAAGCTCTTCCCCTTTGACCTGCACATGTACAGCCCTCCTGTAAGGAAAGTAGGTCATGGCGACAAGGTTGGCAGCCAGCCCTCAAGAAACCCTGAAGCATGCTCAGGGGGGAAAAAGGCCTCATGTCCAAATATTTAAGTTTTTCATAAGAAAATTAGTTGCTTCCGTAGTGCTGGAGGTTTGGGCTCTTCCTTCAGTCTTTCTTACCCCTGCCCAGCATCTTGCCCCTTTTCCACTGTCCCCAGCCAGCAGACACCTGTGTGTGCTCTGTCTTTTCCACATTTAAGTACACCTTCGATGCTCTCTGCCTATATATGAATGCCGTTAGAAACTACTGTCTGTTCTTCAGCATGTTCTTGTGTTCTCTGGCTGTCACAAAGCACACTGTGCAAGTCTCATGATGTGCTCACCTCTGTCTGAAGCTGGTATTTCTTCTAGAGCAGATTTTGCTTTTTGTTAGTTTGAAACTGAGTTTGCTAAATCATTTTATTTGACACATGAGTTAGTATACAAATCACCACTGGCCAGTTAGAACCCAATAGGATACAGTATTATTATATTATAAACCTCAAATAAGATAAAAACATTAACTTGTTATAACCTAAATTACTGTTAATAACAATTGTTAGTATAGCTTAAATAGTTGGTGTCACTCCCCCATGTCTCTGAGTATGTATCCTGGGTTTGGCTTTTGTAGAACAGGACCAGGAAGACTCATAGACCTTGGTTTAGGAGTGCTGCAGGGAGGGCTTGAGATTTTGTGTGGTGACTGTTCATGCTTTATCTTTTGTGTTCTTCTTTGTTAAAGACTGAGTCTGGCTGTATAATGCAGACTCCCATTATATTTACAGTCCTTGTATCTCTGGGATTATCATTCTCTTCTTTATCAAACTTGGATTTTAAAGAAAGTACTGCATGTGTTGTTTTCCATTACATCAGTGACATCCGTTGCTACTTTTCCATCAAGGAAAGAAGAAAATTATTTTCTAAGTGTATATTAATTCTCCCAATATTTGAAGTTGTTGGGGAGGGGATATACTTTAACAGTTTGTTTTGTTTCATTTGAAACAGGTCTTCATGCAGCCTGAGAGCTGGGCTTGAGCTCAGGATATAAATAAGGATGCCCTCGAACTCCTGACCTTCCTGCTTGCCTCCCCAGTGTGGAGGGGTGTCATTACAGACATGCGTTACCATACATAGCTCCCACTTTTTTTTTTTTTAGTTAACAGCACAAAGGTTTTACAAATAAACTTCTCTAAAAAACTATGTCTTAAAGATTCCAAAAATCCAGTTAAGAAAATTGTTATACATTGTGCTCTGTGTCTGAGGTTTTCCATTCTAACTGCATATGACAGTTCTGCAGAGGATTTTAATGCACATCTGGAGAATGTTCTTCATTTATACTTCGAGGTCAGGAGTTGATTCCTGCCTGTCTCCTGTATACACATACACCATGTTTCACTTACTGATGTTTGAAAACTGTTGAGGACTTTGGTTTGAAGACTCTAAGCTGCATGTCAGCCTAAGTGATGCTGATTCTGGGACCATACTTTAGTTCAAGGCTTAGTTATGAGACCAGCTCTGGGACCCTGTCTAGTGACCTGTGCAGATCTTGTGCATGCTGCCACAGTTTGTGAGTGTTCATATGTGCACAGCCCTGTGTGCCTAGAAGGCCTAGATTCCTTGGTATTCTCCATACCCTTGGGATTTTACACTCTTTTCTCCTCCTCTTTTGTATGGTTCTCTGAGCCACGAGAGGAGGGATTTGATCCCTTTTAGCCCGATTGTTCTAAGGTCTCTCATTCTCTGCATAATGCCTGGCTCTGGGTCTTTATATTTGTTCCCATCTGTTGCAGAAAGAAGCTTGTCTGGTGATGGATGAGCATGGCACAGATCTGTGCATCTAGCAGAATGCCATTAGGAATCATTTCATTGTAGCGTTTCTTTAACAGAACAGTAGCATTTGGTTTCCCCTAGGTTCTTGCCTATCTAGTTTCAGGTTCTTGGACACCCAAGAAGAGTAGGTATGGGATCCATCTCATGGAGTGGGCCTTAAAACAGATATTGGTTAGTTACTCCAAATAGTGGTTTGTGTTACTGTTGCACCAGTGTATCTTGCAGGCATGTCCCCCTTGTAGATTGGAAGGTTTGTAGCTGAGGTGGTGTTCATGTATTTCTTTTGGTAGCATGCAAAGTAACTTCTTATGCCAAAGATGCTAGAACATAGGGGAGGCTCTGTGTAGGCACCAGCTTGACTTCTCCATGTTCAGTGAGTTGTGTAGATGTTGTCTTCAGCAATAAGGCTTTGCTGTGAGTTTGTGGAGAGCTACCAATAGCCTTGGCAATACCCTAGGTTGTTTGGAGGTCCCCATGGCATCTCTTTGTCTAAGAACTCACCTAGACATTAGCCCTTCCTTGTACTGGAAGCTTCATTTGATCATGAGAGATGTCTAGTTGGGGCTCTGTCTTCCCATTACTTGGCAGTGTCGTTCAGATTGCCTTCATGTGTGTATAGTTACAGGAAGCTTGAACTCTATTACTTTTCATACCACCCCTCAGGTGGATTGAGCTGTCTCTCCCTCAACAATGCTATTTATTTTAGAAGTCTTATTTCTCCTAATTATTTTACATCCTGATTGTTTCTTTCCCTCCCTTCTGTCCTCCCAGTTTCTCTCTCACCCCCACCCCCAGCCCCAGTCCTCCAGTCTATATTGACCAGTCTTGGTATAATATACGTTGCAGTAGGACTAGGTACATCTTCTCTTGAAGTCTTTTTTGTAATGTTTGTCTTTTTGTCAGCTTTTATTCTGAGCTGTCTTAAAAATCTTCTTCAGGTTAGCCACAGATAGGTGCTATGAGATGATGAGATACCCTCTAACGACTGCAGTCTTAGGGTTAAAGGAAAGCCGTGCTTCCTGCAGCCTTAGGTACTGAAGGGAACTGAGGAGGGGCTCCACAAGGACATGTGTACAAGGCCTTTTCCTTACCGAGAGGCCATTACTGTACCATCCATGACTCGGGGGCTTCTTTGGTTTTGTTTTAGTCAAATCCTAGATTTTTAAACTTTATTTTTATTATAAACATGTTTTTTTTTAAATAATTTATTGTTTTTTCAAATCATAATTCATTCACACAGGGGTTATAAACATAGAAAGACAGGATGAAAGAAAGAAAGAAAGAAAGGGTTCAGGGGATAAGTCACTATGACTCTGTCTATGATTCACTTGTCCTTATCTAAGTTGGTATTGTCTGCCAAGGCTACCTATTTACAAGGTCTATGACTACTTGGGCTGGTAAATTTCCACAAAAGCTGCCTGTTTACATTAGCTTATAGCCATCTGTTTCAATGTTTTTCCACTGAGACCCAAGACTTGGTGTTAGTATACATGTATGACAGGCCTACTGCTGATTTTAGGCCTATGGCTGATTTTAGGCCTTCAGTGTGTAAGCAGGGATGTCCCTGACATCTCCTCCCTTCTCTAAGTATAGAAGGGCTGTGGTGATTCTAATCTTGCGAAGGCAGGGATAGAGGCCTGACCTCCAGTAATTGAAGGGGACCTTGTAATGGTTCTGGTCCCCCTGTCATTGTCCAGTGAGGCATGAGGGCCATACCCTTCACGATAAACATGTTTTAATTTATAGAACTTAATAAATAATTTAATTGATAGAGGAATGCTATAATTATTTGCATTAATTTGGATAATATCCCTTATTAAAGTTTTGGTCTTTTCTTGTATTACTATTCAAGTATAGTTTTAAGAACATTTGCTCATTCAGTGGCCTTGATATTAATTGTTGAAAACCCTAAATAAGACTAAGAAATAGAATTGAAGAAGAATGGATTGATATTCAGAAACCTGATTTATAGATACCGTGTATTAAAAACCTCAGTTTCATTTCTTCGAATATTTTCTCTGGGATAGTTAGTGTTCACCTGAAAGTCCCAACATTTGAAAATATACACTTAGGTGCAAATTAATATTTGTGCCCTACAGTGGAAAAGTTTTACTTCCTAGTCAGGCAAGTAATCATTGACAGTTCACCTTTTTTGAGGTGCTGTTTTAGTGGAGTGGAGTTTCAGCTCTGGGCCTTTAGCTGGAATGCTGTAGCTCTGTGAAGTCTTGATGCTAGCCCGTGGGATATGCTTAGGGTCTCTAGAGTGTGTTCCAGACTAATCTCAGGTGAGCCATTTTGTGATTTGAAGAGCTATACCTTGTCCATCCACTGATACGTAGCTTATACCTTCTGCCTGTATCCAAATCTCTCCAAGTATTGTGCCCGTGTGCTCTTCATTGCTCTCTCTATGTCTTTACTGTCAGGAAAATAAACTGTCTGTTGAGCAAATAGTCTCATTTCTCAGGCTAACACAGGTTTCCAGCATTGTCTCAGGAGGCAGGGGATTTTGTACCTCTCCAGTGAGGGAGGGAATGTGCAGACAGCTTCAGTCAGCTGGAAAGAGTCCCCAAAATGTATCTTTAAAATTACAGAAAACAGCTCTCAATCAGAAACATATCCCTGTGTGATATATTTAAAATTGTACTTACTTATGTGCTAGGTGATCAAGGCTTGCATCTGTGGTAGGTTTGAATTTTGTGTTCTGCATGTTTTTCTGACTTTGTTTGTGTTTTGTAGGTAGCTGACTGTTCCTGGGATGAAACCATAAAGATCTATGACCCTGTTTGTCTCGCGGTTCCTGGTTAAGACACGCTGCTCTAGTCAAAAAACAGATAGTGACTGATGGTCTACTTAGCATCAGAACATTAACTACTGATAGAATTAGGCCTTTATATGTACTGTATATAAGAGTTCAGAATTCTTAGACTTACAGGGAAATCAGTTTTGAGGTATCTGATAAAGACATTGTATCATATTGTAATCCTGGTACATAAGCCATGTTTTCTGAAATCCTAAAGAATAATTGTTGTTATAATATATCTTGTAATGTCTATTAAAATGTTATCTCTGTATTGTAAAATGACATAAAATATGGGAGGTTAGGAGATTACATGGGCAGTAATATATTTTATTATTAATTTGTCATTTTGGATATAAAATAAAACCACTCCTGTTGATAAAAATCAAAATAAGCTGCCTTGATCATATATCATTTATGACATGTCAATGAGGTTGCCTTTTAAAAATGTACTATGTTTATGGATATAATTTTAATTTAATGTAGATGCAGCTGATGTTCATAAATAAATGCTGGCATAGATTTAAGTTACTCAGAAGTTATCTGTTGAGTGTCACATGTACCTGCCATATTCTCTCAGGAATGCTGAGCTGTTAGCTGTACAGTGCTGTGATTAAGTTTGTTTTCAATGCCTTGTATTCACACCCTCTTAGGTACTGGACCCAGGACTTGTCTCTCTTAGCTAGGCATGGTTTCACACATCTATAATCCCTTGGGAAGCAGAGGCAGGAGGATTGCAAGTCTTGGGCCAGTCTAGGCTACCAAATGAGACCTTGTCCATTCCCTATCCAAAGTAAATAAATTAATTAAATAATTTAAAAATGACTTAAAAAAAAGCTTTTGGTCCTACTAAGGCTTCTAGTTATAGCCCTTTAAAGTGGATTTAACTTATACTTTTTAAGCATTTAATGAAAAATTATAAATATTGACTGGAAAATGTTAAAGTAGAAAAATTAGTAAGACAAAACATTTTGTATAGCACTTATTTTGTATGTCAAGTATGCTTTATATAAATGGCAAAAATTGTAATTCTTAAGCTTTTGAGAATGTTAATTGTGTTAATATTTATTTTTAGTGTGAGTATATGTAAGTGTGTGGGTACTACATAAGTGTGGCTGTCCGAGGACCACTTTCAGGAGTCAATTCTTAACCTTTCACTGATGGAAGCCAGATTTTGGGCTGGGTGGCAGGCACCTTTACTCTCTGAGCCAGCTCATGTGCCCTTAAATTAGAAGATGGAATGACATTCCATGTTCCTGGATTGGTAGAATTAATATTGTCAAGATGACCATTCTACCAAAAGCATTTTACAGATTGAATGCAGTCCTACTTCAAAATCCCATGACATTCTTCACAGAAATAGAAACAAATCCTAAAGTTCACAGGGGAACAAAAAAGACCTGACCAGCCAAGGCAGTCCTGAGCAAAAAGGACAGCACTAAGGGGATTACCATACCAGGTTCTAAGTGGAATCACAGAGCCATAGCAATAAAAACAGCCAACTGGTGCAAAACCACATGTAGATCAGAGACCCAAACACGAACACACATAGCTACAGCCGTCTGTATTTAACAACTACTCCAAAAATAAACACTAGAGGGAAGAGCTCTGTAACTTGCCGCTGACTGGACCAAAGGTTTGTTTCTAAGCTTTCCAAACTCATAAATGAAAACATGGTCAGTTCTGCAGCTCAGTATCTGTGGTCTGAGGACCCAGACTGCCTCATCACCAGGCCTGGCATGTAGAACCCTCAAAGCATGTTTGTTAAATGAGTGATTCAGGGAGGGATACTTGTTTTCTTGGATCTTGGATCAGCAATACTTTTGAAATGGACATTGTTTAACAAGTGGACAGTAGTGAACAGAGAAGCTCAATTCTTCCTTACAGTGGTGACTGGAGTTGCATACAGCTGCTTTACCTCTTCCTTTCCCTCCACATGAACTAATAGCATCTCAACAAGGTGTGTCTCAATAAAAAACAGTGCATGGTGGGTACTCTGTATCAGCAGAACCTGTAAAAGACTAATATTTACAATGAATGTAATTCTTTTCCTATTTGAATATGAGAGATTATTGTAACAAAGTAATAGACCTGAGGATTTAAAAACTGAGGATTTTCCATTCTTGGCTGAACTACTGATTACTGATGCATTCTGGGAGAGGAGCGGTCATTGTCTTTAGTTGTGTATTCACTGAGGAGCCCAACAGACTACAGCAGATGGTTCCAATAATACTGGTTAAACTCAGTGAATCTCAAGAATGAGTCTTGAATGTAGGAAGGGGTGTAGTACGGAGAAGGACTAACAGATGGGAGGAAAATTGGAAGAGTTTGTAATAATCAGAATGTGCATTATTCACATATGAAGTTATCATGTAACAAAAGCTTTTTAATGATTTTCCCAAGGGTGGTGCATGCCTGTAATTTTAGCACTTGAGAGGCTGCAGCAAGAGGGCTCCAGCCTGGGCTGCAGTGAGTTTGAGGCACACTGAACTTCAAAGTGAGAGCCTGTTTCAAAACCCAAAACCCAAGAACAACAAAATGTCCCTGGCATCTCCCTTAGTCCATTTCCCTTGTATTCAGGGATGTGAGAGACGTTGAGACTCTGACTTCCTGATACGAAGGTGTGTTGGCTTTGGAGCTACTATTGGAAGATTAAAGGGATCCCAGCTGGAGTCTGCTCTAAAAGCAAAACTCTTGGTAGCTTATGAACTCAGTAGCTTCTAGATGAAAAGTCCTTCCTGGGGGACATCAGCACAGATCTGACCACCTGCTGTTAGCATCCATCCTATCTGCCCTCCAGGCTACTTGTCAACTTGTTGTGACAGGTCAATATGACTTGAGTTCGATGACCCATCTTGCCATCAGAGTAGTGTGTGACATGTCCACATATGCAGGTCTTTTGTTGTTGTTTTTTTTTTTTTTTTTGGTTTTGCTTTTTGTTGTTTATTTTGTACATTTATTTGTTTGTTGTTTGTTTTTTTTGAGCTCTGGCTGTTCTGGAACTATGTAGACCAGGCTGGCCTCCAACTCAGAGAGGTGCACCCACGTCTGCTTTCCCAGTGCTGGGATTAAAGGTCTGCGCCACCACATCCAGCTAGTATGCAGTCCTTTTTAATCTCTATTACTTACTTCCTCAGTGCCACTCTGCTTTCTAAATAAGGAAGCCAGGGTGTCAGGAGTCACAATACACAGTAAGTAATAAGTTAAATTGAAATTTGGCATAGCTAACTCAAAACCTTTGCCCCTGCCATGTTGTGGGTCTCCCTTTTTGGCTACTAGGCCCATGAGGGCAGAGGGAGCAGGGTTCAGACAGCTGTGAATATGATGCTAGGACTCCCAGAGAGACAGCTTCAGTGAGAAGGTTCTACTTTATTATTTCAGGGTTGGGGTATATAAGGGTTTCATGGGTATGGCGGGAAGGGTTGATTGGTCATAACATAGTACCTGATTATCATACAGTGGGAAGGGCTGAGCAGTGGGACTTATGTGCACACAGGAAGCTCTGTGCAGGGTCATCCTCCAAATGAGGCCAGGCACCTGTGCTTAGAGATACTCTCCAGATAAGGTCCATGGGGCAGGGGAAGCCCCGCTGAGAAAGAGAGGCCTCCATTTTGCACTGAGCTTGGGGACCTACCCAGACAAGTGGACTGCAGGGTCTTCCAACATCACGTGACAATCTTGCTAATAGGATGAGTTGGCTTGTTAAAAAAAAAAAAATTGAGATGTGAGCTCTGGTGACTAGATTCTGATAATTTTGAGAGAACTGACAAAATTGCATTTTTCAGCCCCAAAAGGGGAGAAGCTACATCTGAGCCTGGGTGACCCTACAAAGCCCATTTTCTCTCTTGATGGGCAGAGCCAGCACTGCCTTTCTTTCACACGTCTCCAAACATCTGAGCAGGGTTTTGGCTCTTCTACAGTTGAATCCTTAGTAATTTCTTACTTACCATGTCTCTTCTTAGCTATGCCAATCTACTTAAGACTTTGTTTGATCGATTCTCCTGCTTTCACCCACTTGGGTCTCCCTCCCATATGCCTGTGAACTCATTTCTTTCAGCCGAAATCATCTTGCTTACTAAACCAGCAGCTTTCTCCAGCATGAGCAAGGAAGAGTCAAGTTAAACATCAGTTTAGACCAGCTAAAGACCTAAATGCCAGCTCACAGCCCCTCTCCACAATACACTGCACAGGTCACTCCGTGACCTTTACTCCTCAACCCAAGCACCACTGGCCTAGCTTCTCTGAGAAACTGCCACCGGTCTCTGAGTAGCTGCTTTATTTCTAGTTCTGCACCTTCAGAGCCACCCTCCTGTGTGCTGCTCCAAAGACTGAGGCAATGTGTAGCTGGAGTATGCCAATTTCGTTGTAAAAACCTTTCTCTGCTTGTCGGATTGCACAGGGAAAGAGTTCCATTTCCTAACCAGACAGCTCAGTCCTGGTCCCTGCCTGTTACAAGGTTTTCCCAACAACACCAGGATGTTCACAAAAACCCAAATCCTGCAGGTTTTCAGTTCTGTCTTTGCTCAAGCTAGTCTATGTCTCTTAGGTGTTCTGCCTTCGGCTTGGCAAGTTCTTACTCATCATTTTAAGTTACATGAAATGACTAAAAGAAAAGATTGACAGCAAACTCTAAAATAGCAATCACACAGCAGAGCTAATGGGGAGAGGACCTAAAAGAAAGGATAGATGTTCAAGGATGCATTAACCCCTGTTGGCTAATAGCCAGAATTTATTATTTTATATGTGTGCAAATACATGTTTATGTATATGCAGGTGCACATGTATGTGTGGGCCAGAGGAAAACCTCCACCTTGGTATTTTAAGGAGTCTGTCAGTGGTCTGGAACTCAGTAATAAGGATAGGTTAGGTAGCTGGTAAGGCCTGGACCTCATCCACCTGGGTAAGTCTCCCCCTCCACAGTGCTGTGATGACAAGTGTGTACCACCACATCTAACTATATTTACATGAGTTCTGGGGACCAAACTCAGGTCTACGTGATCATGAGGCAAACATTTTACTGACTGAGCTATCGCCCCAGCCCCAGTATCCAGAATTTATAAAGAACTCTTAGAAATCGGTAGACAGGTGGAGTGTAGTCTTTCTCTTCCAGACAGCATGTTTGGCTCCTAGCACCACTTTGAGACAACTGCCTGCAATTCCAGTCCTAGGGGATCCAGCACCTTTTTCTGACTTATTCAAGCAACCAGATAGCACAGAGGCACATGGCGGCAACAACAACAACAACACACACAATTATACATAAATGAAAACAATGAATCTTTTTTTTAAAAAAATTACTGAACAACAGAACACAAAAGTAGACAGGACACTAATGGAGAGTTCATAGAAGTAGGAAGGCAAATGTTTGCTTCAAAATGTTCTTCCTCGCTGATGGCGAGGAAGTCCTAGTTACAGTGAGGCCGCTTCCCCTGTTTTCTGAATATTGCTTTGGCAAGCATTTACAGTACTGACAAAATCCAATGCTGGTTACTTTGAGAGCTGAGAGTGTGGTTACACTCTGTCTTGGTAAGTGTGATCTGGCAGCAAGTCAACATGGCCAGTTCCTCCACGGCCCAGCAGTCACAGTCCCAGGATTCCCACTAGCTCAGCGGTAAAACACTTGCCTGGTAAGTGTGAGACCCCAAGTTCAGTTCCCAGTACAGGAAAGAAGAGGGCAGAATTTCTACAGTTATTTAAGAAAAGAGTGACTGAGGGGTGCAGTTACAGCTCATTTGTGAAGTGCTTACCATCAACCACGAGAATATGGATTCCATGGAAAACGTTGGATATGGTGGGCCATGCTTGTAATGCTACCCCTGGACAGGCAGGAAAAGGAGTGTTAATTGGCCTGTCATCCTAGCCTAATTCATCTTCAAGCCCCAGGTGCCAGAGAGAGATCCCATATCAGAACCCGCAATAGGGACTGAGGTTAAGAGCATTAGCTCTCAGCACCCACATCAGGAGCTCAGAACTTGTTAAAATTCCATCTTCAGCAGATCCCTCTTCTGGACTCCGTGGACTGGTATGCACACGCATACCAACACACTTGTACA